GTAATGTTTTAGAACTCTCGATTGTAGTTGTAACTTTAAAATTACAATAAGCCCTTTGCATGAAACAATCACATGGCACTAAATCCGCCATACTGGATGGCAAAAGAGTGTAAACAACCTTAAAAACAAAAGAAACGCAGCCCGTCAAGCTTCACTTTTCTTTGTTTTGAACATCCCAGTGAGTATTTTGACATCCAGTTTAATGGTGGATTTAGTACCATAATGACCGTTTTATGTAAAGGGTCTATTCGTTACTTGTATATTATGTATAAAGAGCAAGCTGTTATATTGGAATTCTCCACGTGGTGGTACTTGTACTCTAGGAAGTCTCAGTATACTGAACCATTGAAAGGGAAATAAGCCTAACAAGTCTAATCACTATAGATGCCAGACTAAGTTCTGTACGCTCTTGTGAATCATTACACGCCGTAGYCAAACAACTACAGTCAACTCTCGCCTTACGGACACCCCGCTATAACGGACACCTCGATATTACGGACACGAAATACTGAATCCCCGGCGAAAAATACAAAGAAATGACTGAAAGTAACTCCCGCTAGTACGGACTTTTGCTACTTCGGACACTGCAGTACGGTCCCCAGGGTATCCCTAATAGCGAGAGTTGACTTTATTCAACATCGACATGCCTCTAAAAGTACTTAGTTTAAAACTGTAAGGCATATACAGTGAAGACAATTAACCCGTGAAACGCATTCAGATAGTGAAGGAAATGTAGCCAAGTAGAAACTAAAGAACGCAATGGAATTATGGTATCATTAAAATTGGAAAAACCCAGTGACTTCATTCAACGTCAAACAAATGACTTTGGATGCACTTCTCAAATCACGATTAATCAATAAGAACATAGCAAAAAATAAAAAATAAAAATACTCCGTGAAGGGGGTCAATATTTGAAATGTTTTCCAGCTCTRTAACATACCAAACAGTCAACGACCTCGTTTTTTTTCAAATCCTTTGTCACGTTTCCAAACCTGATGACTGTTTTTGATTATGATATAATTCTTTAAGTATTATAAAAGTCTTCCATGGTTTTAATTATAATTATCACTATTTTGATAATTATAGCATTAAATTGTTACAAGTAATTTACCTTACAATTCTATTTAAATTCATATAAATTTGTTTTAATTATGTAATTAAGAGTACCAGTCAAAAAGAAACTACCATAGAACCAAATATAAATCCATTCAAGATAGATATTCTCATATAAACAAGCTTTCCAAGAAATATATAAAATATTCTTATTCGTATATCAGTTTTCAAAGGTGCATTCGACTGGCTWCCTTCACGGGTTTACTACCTTCACTCACTGACAAGCAGACAAAAAGATTTCTGGGACAGGTGAATTTACATATTCATTTCCTTCGTCATTTGATTGACAGCTACGCCCTTCCGACACTGAGAGCTAACTTATGACAGGGCTTTCATAATTCTCTCCTTTGATATCCGCCTTTCTTGGCAGTCCGTGAGGTTTTGCTAACAAGATCTTAGTTTAATGAATCCCTGATAAACTACTRCACTCTTTAGGTACAATGTAGGTCTGATTATACAGGAAACTATCGAGTATTCGTTATGTCACGTTATTTCACGATTAATTGTCATCTCTYGAAGCGAGTGGAAGGAAAATGCTTCGGTTTATCGGCGTGATGTATTTACACAGTCTTAGCCTCGAATAAGAGAATCGCTTCGATTTGAAAAGCATGCACTTATTCCTTCTTTACTAGGAATCCTGGTTCTATCGCTTTGTTCGTCTTTTCTACTTTTTTTCTGAGTAAGGTCTTGTTATTCATAATTTCCAGTGCTTTTTGTTTTACGTTTATGTGAAGGCCTCTGACTAAGCCTTTTTGGAATACAAGATATTCTAAAAAATAGCAGCTGATGTAGTAATTCTATACAAAAATTCTTTGTCCTTCATTTTTCGTTCGAAAGACTTTCCTGACAATGGCCGCAAATAAGAGATCGGCCGTTCCTTTATACTGGAATGGCGTGATTGCTAGCACGTTTAGGTTGAGAAAGTACAACGGAAAACAAATCCATATCTTCAAAAACATCCGTGTTTAGGATGCCTGTTATGGTACGCAACAAATTTTTAGCTTATAAAAATGTCGCTTCTTGCGTTATCACGGCGAAAATATCGGGGTATTAAGATCGAAGCTTTTTTTGCTATTTTAAACATTATAT